GATTTGTAATCCACTATATTTCTTTTGATTCGTTGAAAATTCATTTGTACGAATTTATCGTGTTTATTAATTCAATAAAACGAAATTTTGCGTTACACTAAGCACAACGTAGTAATTGACTAGTTGGGCTTCGTATGCACAAAGCGCGAACAAAGATAATTTCTCCACTAAAATAATCGATCTAAACTGCACCAAATTGTATGGTTATGCACTTATGCTTTGTTGGGTTCTGCTCGGTTTGGCTCACCCTAAACTCTGTACGATATAATTGGACGGCACAAGATATTGGGCCTGTCAGTATCGAAGAAGGCACATTTACATTGTAGCCCAATAATGACAACAAAATTAGCCCAGACTTGTTTTATGAGGTCAAGCCCATGTGACTCTTTAGAATCAGAAAACCACGATCCGCAGTACTAATAAAGAATGAATTACCACCCTCGATCTACTCCTAATCGACGGCTCAGGAAAGTGGAACTACAGCGACGCGGATCGTCAATATTGTTCGTCGATTAGAACTAAAGATCCAACGGACAGCATTCATTTCATTCTCCCATGCGTCCCCTTTATAAACTTCCCCTTACATTTTGCTTCACCAGTAGAGTTCAATTGGCAGAAAAGCAAAAAGTCTCTCTCTCTCTCTCTCTCTCTCTCTCTCTCTCTCTCTCTCTCTCTCTCTCTCTCTCTCTCTCGATTTTAGTTGCAGAAGGGAAAAAAAATGTCTGGCCGTGGAAAGGGCGGGAAGGGTCTCGGCAAAGGCGGAGCCAAACGGCACCGTAAGGTGTTGAGGGACAACATCCAGGGCATCACCAAGCCGGCGATCCGCCGCCTGGCCCGCCGCGGCGGCGTGAAGCGCATCAGCGGCCTCATCTACGAGGAGACGCGCGGCGTTCTGAAGATCTTCCTCGAGAACGTCATCCGTGACGCCGTGACCTACACCGAGCACGCCCGCCGGAAGACGGTGACGGCCATGGATGTCGTCTACGCTCTCAAGAGGCAGGGCCGCACTCTGTACGGGTTCGGCGGTTGAAGTCTTGGCTTTTGGTCCCCAGTTAGGGTTATGGGTTGCAGTGTAAATCTTATTTCTCTAGTTGGAAGTTTCGTTTTTATGAATTGGGTGTTTTTGTTGTTAGCTGATTTGAGCTTGAATTTATGTTTCCAATGAAATGAAATTACTATTCTGAAACTGTTTGTTGATTTTTCTCATGCTTTTTGGGTGTTCTGATTGTTCTTCTTGTTGTTGTTTAATTATGAATTATGAATTGATGTTTTTCTGTAGCCATTTTTGTTTAATGAAATGAGGCTTAATGTGCAATGTTCAAGTAGAATCTGTGTGGTTTTCTTAATGTAAATAGCTAAAGAAGATCAA